GATAAAATGTTTCCTCTGTTTTTCCATATTGTTGCAACAGTAGACTTTCCAAGTGCTAATTCCTTACAAATGTCACTCTGCTTTACTCCACTTTTAATTTTGTTAATAATCTCGTACTTTTCATTTAGTGAAAAAGCTTTGGGTTTTTGTTTTTCCATTCTAAAAGGATTTACATACATAACGCGGCAAAAAACAAGTCACTGCTTGTTTCTCGCTCTCACTAATATAAACAACTCCGCACGATTCGTATTGCTGAGCGTGGAAGTTCGCTATAAACGGCAAGTGAATATACAACTAACCTAAAAAGTGATCGTTATATCCGGAAGTTCGTTATAAACGGGTTCGTTGTAACCATTAAAAAAAATACGTTGGTCTTTATGGACGACGTTTCAATTAAAGGAAAAGTTCGTTTTAACCGAAAGTTCACTAAAACCGGGTTTATTATAAGCGGACTTTATTGTAATCAGAAAATAATTGTTTTTTGGGTTTTCGATTAAAAACTTTTAGTTTGTGATCGGTTTTGAATAAAACCTTTATGGTTTTTTGGGGAAAAATGGGAGGAATTTATTTTCGTTTTTGTCTCGAAATCGACGATGAAAAAAGTATTTGTAAAATTTTACAAAGCAATACATTTTTCTTGTAATTTTAACTCTACAAAATAGAGCGTTTTGGAGTAGAAAGTAAAGCAAAAAAATCAATCAAACCTAAAAAACCACATTTTTTTAACAAACTGCAGTTTTCAGAGGAATTGAGGTGACGAGATTTCCAAATAATCTGTTATAAACTTTCGCTTATTCCGTTCGTTTTTTAATAGAAAATTATTTGATTTTTGTTCAAAATTCGACGATGGAAAGGGATTTCAAAACTTTTTACAAATAGAGAAAGAATAAAGGATTCGAAATTTATTTAATAATTTTTCACGGAAAACACGTTAAGTTTGGTAGCAGTTTTAAGTAAAACTTTAGAAAATTGAACATTCAGAAAAAAGAGTAACTTATCTAAAACTGGAAAATTTTGAAATTTTGAAGAAATTTTAGAAATTATATTAATAAGTGGGCCGTAAAATAAATCTGAAACAAGTAAAAAAGTCATTAACATTTTCCCAGCAACGGAACTGAGTTACTGCGCCGGTGCGTTGGGCTGGCGCGCAAAGCGTAGCACTGAGTTACCCAGGCCTACTTGGAGGACTGAGTCGTGTTTAATTTAGTAAATTAACTTATTTAATCGCATATTATCATTTTGTAGAAAAAAATACTTACGACTGTTGAAACAACGCAACGCACGTATTAAAATAATCGATGTGATCGATGTACATTTTAATTAACTTAGCTACCACGAATTTTCAGCCAAAATAACTAATAAATTAAATAAAACTGCAAATAAATGTTAAACTATGCTGAATAATACTAAAGTGACGACAGAAGGTAACAGCAGAATAAATGAAAATACACGAAATAGGAAGGTCAACCGGTTTATCCAATCAAAATAATATATTTATAATATAATATATAATAAATAAAGGTAATGTCAGTACATCTGTAATTTAAACTGTATATTCTGTGAACAAAAATAACTCAAAAATATAATATAAACGCAACTAGAGTCCGCAATGTAGGTACTTCTAAATACAAAATATTTATATTTGCACTGCTCTTTTTAGCTGGATTGTTTTATTGTTGTAATTTCTTATTGCAATACTGTTTGTTGTTCTATTATAAATTT